TAGCCAGCTGAAAAAATCTTTGTACAGTATTTCTGTTTTCCCCCACTCTTTGCAGAACTCATCTAATTCAAAAATACTCTTAGACCCATTTCTTTGCACTTCATGTTTGAGATTTATCCAAGATTTTGAATATTTAAATCTGAGGTTTGTGAAGGACATTTCAAAATCTTTGTCTTTATAAGCATTTAATGGTTGATATGTTTCAGATCATTGTATTGCTAAAATTCACAGTCTCCTTTCAGGTTTAATTTCTGTACTGACATGAGAAAAATGCAGAAGTAAGAAGAGAAGGATTCTTAGCTTCATACAAGAAACATTGGAGGCTTTTTTTTTCCTGCCAAAGAAGATGTTGCAAAGTAGTAACTGGATGGATGTCAAACTTCTGCATTTGCCATGTTGTATGATATATATAACCAGATAATTGGCTATTTCTGTTTATCCTCTACTAAATTGTTGCATGTAATAAAGTATTCATATAGTAAAACCTATGGTATTTTTTCCATAGTAGACATCCTCATCCAACAAGTGCATATGACAATAAGATTATGAAATTGAGTACTGTAAACTAAATGGGAATTCATTTTATTCTAATATTTATTCATAAGAACACAAATCAAAGTATTAAAAGCAAAGACAACTTGTAAAAGAAAAACAGATTTTAAAGTAATGTTATCAAAACAATAAGGTAGGACTCAAAAAAATGCTTAGCCTTGCATTAATTCTTTCATTTTAAAGGACTATATAATTGCATATGTGCATATTTTATATAGATAGCCTTTATTTGTAATATTTTTCAACAACCCTACTTAAAATTGTTGTGGCAGTATGATGGATTAGTTCTTAGAAGTCCCTGTGGAGTTTTTTATATATATAGTACCATATTTAAATGCCAATAGAACAAAATATATGTAGTTCAGGGTTGAACTATGCAGTCTGGGGTTCTCTGAGCTTGGTTGTTTGCTTACAGAAGTTTTATTACCCAACTAGGTAATATCATATTAATGAGTGTGGGCCTTGCTCCCTGTTTACATTCAATAGTGGGCTTCTCCTTGGTAGTCTTGACTGAGTTGTTCTTTTCTGCTTCATGGTTTGCCTGGCGTTAATCTCTGTTTATTTGGGTATTGGCTACTAAAGGGGATGTATTCTGGTCTTTTTGTTTCTTTCTTAATTTCCTTTTTATTGTCCCTTTTGAATAGTGTGTAAATATGGTTTATTTCTATGTATCTATTGATGTTTGATTTGTCTGAATGCCAAGCTTCCAGAAATCCCTTAGTGGTTTTGGATTTAGTTTGGTCTACAGATGCACACAGTTTCCCAGTTGAAATTTGGTTGAGTCTGTCCATATGTTGTAAAATTAAGGATCATGCTAATTCATATTCATCGATGTGCTCTGCTAGTTTTTTGCCTGTCTGTTCTATCTTCCTTATTTATTGATTGATTAGCCTTGGGCCATATCAAAGTGCAGAGTTCCAGAAACAAATTATTATTAAAATTTGATAAAAGCAATTTAAAATGGAATTGATAAAACACAAATTAAAATGAAATTGGAATAAAATATGATTTAAAATGAGATTGGAATAAAATGTGAGGGCAATCTGGCTGCGACATCTATCACCCCATTGATCACCAGGGTTGATTCGGCTGATCTGGCTGGCTAGGTGGGTGTCCCCTTCCTCCCTCACCACTCCATGTGCGTCCCTCCCAAAGCTTGTGCACTCGGTGGAAGAGGATGACCATCCCAGAGAGGAGTGTACTGATCTTTGGTCAAGGATATACGATAGCCTGTCTCTTCTATATAGTGGTTATTGCTGTCCTTATACTGTATGTTGGTGAAACTCCTGGACTACTTGTTGGTTTACCCAAGATGTTTTGAGGGTTTTAGCTAGTTTGTGTGGTATGGTGATGCCACATGGTTGTAATAGTCTCTTGGTTGTTCTTGAGATTTTATACACACACACACACACACACACACACACACACACACACACACACATATACATACATATCAGGGGTGAAATGCTACCGGTTTGGACCGGTTCCCCCCTACCGGTAGTACAAAATGTTACTGGGTCAAGCGAACCGGTATTTCCGACCATCAGCTGGGCGATGATCAGCTGTGATGTGCGATTTATATTAGCTAGAATCGTTGAATTTCCTGATTTCTAGCTAATCTAAATCGCGTGGCACAGCGGATTCTCCCCACCTCACTGTTCTACTTACCTTTGCAGACTCGGAAGGTTACAAAATGTTCCTTTTCTAGTGTGCACTCAGTAGCAGACTCACAGAACCGATAGCAGACTTCAGAGGATTTCACTTCTGATACATACATACATACATCAGTGGTATACTTTTCATATCTTGTATTGTTATGCTGTAGTGAGTTGAGTGATCAGGCTTTTTTTTTTTTTAAATAAAGTTGCATGTGTATCCATTCTATTGGAAGAATAGAATGTAGGTGATCTGTTTCCTTTTTCTGTTGTTCCAGGTTGCTGCACTGAGTGTGAACTTGTCTGAATAACATTCTAATACAGCTCCTTTTGTGGGAAGTTGGGTTGTTATTTTGGTAGTGGAGCATTTGGTTAGTGTGGGATGTTTTTTCGGCAGCAATCCGGAACACTGAGGTTCACAGCTGCTAAAGGCACTTCACAGATACAATGCTTTGGACCCCAACTCTACTTGCCTTCCAAAAGCTTCTAAAAGAGGAGTTTTTCCAGAGGATATATGTGGGTTGATGCCAGACGCTATTTGAAAAGTATCTTTGTATATTTTTTCTATTAGCTTTTATATTTTTAATTCTAATTGTCATTACTGTTTTTTATGTTACAAACTGCTAAGATTGCATATGATTGAAACAGGATATATATGTGATTGATAAGTACCGGTAAATAAAATGGAGAAATACTGATTTTTGTTATCCATATTTTCAGTCAATATGAGTAACGAATATCTAAGCTCATACTTCCTTCCAATTGTATTTGATGTTTGTTTTTTGCTAGTATTTCTCTAAACCTTTTTTGTTTTACTTCATTTAGTATAATGCTGTGTGCAGTGAATATTACTTTGGCATATTGTTTGTGTACAGAATATAATGGATGACAGTGAAATAGATGCTGCCTTGTACCATTCAAAATATATATTGTTTAATTCGTATATTTGTAAAAGGATACAAAAATTGGTGTACTATATCCCCAAGGACATCATTTTTCTATTGGTTGCTAAAATGGCATATAATAAGCTTTCTACTTTTCAAGCGTTTTGTGCAATAGTATTAATTTATTAAATTTATTAGCTACCCATCTTAGCACTGGATAACTCTGGGCAGTTTACAATATTAAAAGGATAAAAATATACAAAACCTATATACAATATGAAGAAAATACTATAAAGATGTAAAAACTCAATGCTGACTAAAAGATAGGAAGGGAGGCAGGGAATGGAGTAGGATGAGTGGGGGAAAGGTGGGATCTGTTATTAATCTATATTTGTGATTTAAATTCCAGAGTACCAGTGGCACATGGCAGAATGGGGAGATAGGGGAACTTCCTCTTCTATTCAGCTATTGGCTACCCAACTGACCTATCTACTCCCCTTCTAGTGGGTGGTGCTTGAATATGCCTCTCTTGAATTAAGGCAGCAGTGGCACCTCAGAGGAGGTAGTGAAAGAATGATGCTAGAAATTGCAGAAGCAGGTTATTGTTGAAGCAATGTGGAGAAAAAGGAAAAAAGGATAAGGCATATCAGAAGCACTGTCAAAAGTTGGATGGAGCTTTTCTTTCCCTTTATGTAGGCTTCTGTGGCATTCCCAGGCAAAGAAGGAACAAACTGATAGTGCTTTCACCTTGCTAGTGTAATTGTGACCATGTATTTTCTTTTTAATTGTGACTGTTTTAGCTGCATGTTGTTTAATTTTTTCAGGCTGCAATAGGAATAGCATTCAGAAAAGAACTAATTACAATTCAGATTTCATTTACACCAATGAAACTGGGAAATGTACCAATGGAAATTTTAATCACCATATTCTAGTAGATGTGATTGATGTCTGTTCCTGTTTCTATTTCTATTAAGTTTCTTCCTCATTCCATTTGAAATCAAAGTACAAATGGTGTTCATAACTAGTGCAGTAAAGAACATTCATTTTTAAGGAGTCAGAAGCAACCGTTGCCAGAATTAGTGAATTTATGATAAGGGTATACATGAACAATATTTTTGCCAAATCCTGCAAGTATTTGTTTTCAATAAATTTCTGACTGCTGAGTGGGTATACGGTACACTCATTTTTGGAATGTTGTTATAGTTGCTGGCGACTTTACTTTGAAATTATGATAGTGCTCTTTAACTTTATAGGATAACACTGCATTTAAAATAAAAATTTGAATTAAACAACTACAGCAATATTAAAAAATAAATGAACTTGTGTATGAACATTGCCTAGATGATCAGTTTCACCATGAGAACACAGTTTGAGTTTTCAGAACTTCATATGGATTTTACATGGTCCCCCAGAACCCCTCCAGATGGTAACACATACATACATTTCCTTTAGTAGTAAGCAACATCAAGCAGGAAAAAAAAAACCACAGAAAAAGAATTAGAAGTAAATACAGTATACATATCCACTTTCCATCATGATATGTTCAATCAAAGCTTTCTTATGCTTTTTAGTAAAATAAAAAAAGTGTAGACTAGAATATTAATCTTAATTGGATCCATGCTATTTTTATTTTATACTCATGTTATTTTATGGAATGGTGCAAACTATATAGAGACTGCCTTACAAGCCTGCATCCCACTATTGGGAAATACAGTACATGCAGTAAGTGCATCTGAACTGCATTTAAATTTAGTTTGGTTTTGTCCACTTCTTTCCCCCAGGTTGAATAAACCTAAATTATACTTTGGATTGTTCATTATTAAAATTGCTTTATTTTATATATAGATATATAGATATATATTTATGAGTTTCTTGGAACCAGAACTGATCCTAACTTATTTCTTTTCAGCTTTGGATAAATCACAGTCCAAGCGGGATGGAGGTTTTAAAAATAACTGGAGCTTTGATCATTCAGAAGAAAGTGAAGGAGATACTGAGAAAGAGTAAGGATATTTTATTTTAGGCTGTTGAAAAATATATAGTAATAGAAGCCTTGAATAATAATTCATTAGTAATAATAAGGTATTCCGCTCCCCCATTCTGATTTTCTTATGCACAATTTAAACAAAGAGAAATTATATTATTTTGATATAGTATGCAGTACATTTTCAGTCTAATCTTTTTCAAAATATGCCATTCTTTATTCCAAAAATAGCTATAAATTAACATTTTAACATTCCTAGAATTTATAATAGAGGTATGAATGAATTAAAGATTGTACTTAATTTAGATTTTAAAAATGAGATTCTCATTTTAGAAATACTGCAGACATAATATTTCCAATTGTTCACTTTGTGCCTTCTACATTTTACTTACTAATGTTTGAAAACCATAAACCAAGTAGAAACATTATCAAATGAATGCTATCTAAATCTACTGGAAAGGTGTTGGTTTTTTTTTTCTTTTTGCCTACCCATGCAATATAAATTGAGAAATATTGCCACAGTTATAAAGTCTGAGATTCTTAACTAAGAAACCTGTGATCAATTGAACAGTCTTGAAACCATAAGTTCATTTTTTGTCATTAGATTTATATGGGACTGAATTGCATTTTATTTTTATGTTTCAAATTGTATTGATTTAGAATAAAGGAACAGATTAACACTCTTTTCCTAATAAATAGACAGATGTGATAAAAATTAGTAATACTTTAAATGTTTAATAAAAATAGACTACCTTATGTCCTGATATTATTTTAGTGAGAAGAACGAAATAAATAAATGTGAAAATGTTTGAATATAAAGACTATGAATATTTTACATCCTATAGAACCTAAGTCTTCTGATCCATAAGATATTTTCCTAAATATAAAATATGTAAATGCATATGAATTTATACAATTTATTTATACAATTTATTTATACAACTGTTAAAAAATTAACAGTTTTTGATGTGTATAAATAGTAATATATGTCATATTTTCTAAGCAATGGAATATTTCAGTATTGAAACAGCAAGAGAGAAGAGGGAACGAAGGATGGATGGATGGATGGATGGATGGATGGTTAACTGAGCCACCGCCATGTTTAAGTTAGTAACATGGTTGTAAGTTGAATCTGGCTTTCCCATTGACTTTGCTTGTCAGAAGTTCACAAAAGATGATCCCATTACCCCAGGACACCACAAACATCATAAATATGAAAGTTACCAAGCATCTGAATTTTGATCATACGATTATGAGGATGCTGCAGTGATCATAAGTGTGAAAAAAGGGCCACAAGTCACTTTTTTTCAGTGCTGTTGTAATTTAGAATGGTCACTAAATAAATGGTTGTAAGTCGAGGACTACCTGTACCTTGTGATTATGAGAAAGACAAGTGGCCAGCAGCCACCTTAGGAAAGGCCAGGCCAAGTGCATCTCGTCAGCAGCAGGAAGAAGATGACAGTGATAGTGGCTAAAAGGGAAGAGATGGGGGGGGGGGAAGATGGACACAGGGTGGAGGGAATGAGTTGAATAGCACTTTGCGATTGTAAATGCAGGCAGGCTACCAAGCACCTGAATTTTAATCATGTGAGTGCAGTGCTGCTGCAGTGGCCATAACTTTAAGCTCCGGGCGTAACTTCAAATAGTCATTAAGCAAGGACTACCTGTATACCATATGTGATGGCAATACATTTAATATGGCTTTTCAAAATGGCTATTCTATATCTACTTAAATGCAAATTATTAACTACCACCTGAGGAACTATCTCACTGGTTTGGCCAGCCCCACATGTTCCAATAGAAGGGACATGCTGCGGATCCTTTCTGTCATGGAATTCTGTCTGGCAGAGTTCAGAGAAGAGCCTTTTCTGCCTTGTTTCCCGTCCTCTGGGACATTGTGCCCTGTGATCATGGAACTTTGGTTTTTGCCATTAATTCCTGTACTAATTACTCTATAATTTTTCTTTAATATAATAAAATGCTGATATCATACCCCTGGAAAAAAACCAGGATCAGTGCCAATGTGACCAATCTTTTGAATCACCTATTTTTAAAAAAATGATTTGGGTTTCACAAAGCAATCCTTTGTTTAAAAACGTGTATTTGCAACTAAATTCAGCAGTATTCAGCTAAACATTTGTTTTCAAAGGACAGTGAAAATGAAATATCCTGGGGGATTGGAAAACTGATTGAACATAAACACATCCGTTAGAGGAAATGTACTGCAAAGTATTTTGCAAATGTAAATTACGTATTTACACTATATGTAAATTTTATACTAAATGTTAAAAAATTTACACTAAATGTAAACTATGTATTTACAGCCTCTAGACACACACATACACACATATAGACATAGATATAGAGTGTGTATACGTACATATACATACATGCGTGCCTCTGGGTAGCTTGTACTTTAAAAGCAAGAACAATTTAAAAAATCAAGAAACACATCATAGAAAAGAAAAAAAAACCCAAGCATAGCAACATTTCTACAGATAGTCCTCAATAATAACTACAATTGGGATTAGAATCTCAGTCACTGAGTGAGATGGGCGTTAATGAGATGGCTGTGTGACTGCTTTGTTCAATCCCAGCACTCTCAGTTGCAGTTGGTAAGTGATATTCTCCGAGGTTGTTAAGTGGATGGAGCAAAAGAGCTTTCTGCTTTAGTATTTTAGCTCTGTGTGAAATTAAAATTATCTTAGCAGGCAACTCTTTCACTCTCAAACTTTCTATAACTCACTGAAGAGTCTTCACCTCTTCTTGGTTCCCTCCACTTGCAACCTTCCCTGACAGCTTTTCAGTTGACTTTGGAATTTGTTTTTGGAATTTCCCAATTGGTTTTGGCATCTTGAATTGACTACATAATCCCTTTAGCAACCTGTCACAGAGAAGCAGAGTCACATGACACCATATGTCCCTCACTACCTACATTGCTGTATTCTGGACCTTTTATAGCCTCCAAGTGCACTTAAAGATTGCACATAGCAACCACATTTCAACCAGTCATAACTGTGAACTGGTTGCCAAACACCTAAAATGAGGTCACATGACCATTATGGGGGGACATTTTATTATGGCCAGAATTGCTTTGTGGGCCACAAAGCATCCTTTCTGTGGCCGTTGTAACAGTTATTGAATGACTGGTCATAAGTCAAGGACTACATGTGCTGGACTTCAGCAGCTACCCTATGTCTACCTGGGAGAACAGTTAGATGTTCCAGAGATATTTGGAACAACATTAAAGTGGTAGCCATACTGATTTCTGGGGGTAATAATAATAATAATAATGATGATGATGATGATGATGATGATGATGATGATGATGATGATGATGCATGGCCAATACTTGAAAAGTATTGAAGGCAAAGCTGACCAGAAACTAACTTGGAACTGGTTAAGATCAGGAGTACTGAAAAAAGAAACAGAAAGCTTTATTTTGGCAGCTCAAGAACAAGCCCTAGCCACAAACTGCATGAAGGCAAAAATTCAACATGTTACCACCAACAGCAAATGCCGCCTCTGCAATGAGAAAGAAGAGACAGTTGACCACCTGATCAGTGGGTGCAGCAAAATTTCACAAACTGACTACCTACAACGCCATGACCGTGTTGCTAAGATCATTCACTGGAAATTGTGCCAGAAGTTTGGATTTGAGTACAGCAAAAACCACTGGGAACATCAGGTTGAGAAAGTTTTAGAGAATGAGAAACTCAAGATCTTGTGGGACTTTAGGATTCAGACTGACAGGCACTTGGTCCACAACACACCTGACATAACAATAGTTGAAAAGAAAAAAGTATGGTTCATTGACCTTGAAATACCTGGTGATGCACAGATTGAAGATAAGGAGCAAGAAAAAATCACAAAGTACCGGAATTTGCAAATTGAAGTTGAGCGACTGTGGAAAAAGAAATCGTGTGTTGTCCCGATTGTAATTGGAGCCCTTGGAGCAATACCCAAAGGGTATTGCTCCAAGGGTACTTAGAAGGGTATTTAGAAATTCTAAATTTGCCGGACTTGAACATTTTGACCCTACAAAAAACCACCTTACTCGGAACAGCTTACATCCTCCGACGATACCTTAACAGTTCCTAGGTCCTTGGTTAGGACTCGAGCTGCTGAGCTATTAATCAGCCTCAAAGGCTGTGAATCTCACTAAAGATTAAATAATAATAATAATAATAATAATAATAATAATAATAATAATAATAATAGGGCAGGTGCTGGGACAGAGAAAGCTTGTTTCCTAGATGTCAACAAATGATGTTGTTTAACAGAGGGGATCGGGAGTGTGCCCGATCGGGAGTGTGCCCATTCTCCCCAATCTTATTGGGTGGGCAGAAACAATGGGAGATAGACAGTTCCTCAAATAGCTAAGTTCTATGCCATAAAGTCTTTTATAGATAATGAGTATCTGGAATTGTCCCTATATGCCCCTAGCAACTAGTACAGGTCATAGAGCAATGGAATCACATGGCATAACAGACCAGGTCCATCACTACCTGCATTGCCATATTCTGGATCTGTTATAGTCTCTAAATGCTCTTAATAACAAGGCAGCTTGTTACTAATACATATAAATATGTAATGTAGGAACTCCAGGGGTTCATACTTTTTCCAGGGTAAAGCTGCTTGTTAGTAGAATAGAAGTAAGTGTAATATAATAATAGCTCTTAAAGACTCACTGAATGATAGCTTATCTGGTACCTTATCAGTGAAAGCTATGAGATATTGTAGCAAAACCACACATATATAGAAACACAGTTATTGTGACATGCTGTATTTGAGAGTGACACAAAGAGTTGGGCTAGTTGGAAATGTGACAATCTATTTAAAGTACTGTACAAGTCAAATCCCTTTCTTAGCGTTATACAGTACCAGATTGCTCAAAACCTTATTGATTCATTCAGATCATTTCTAAGCTGCTTCTTTTGTTTTGCTTCCTGGATGCTTTCTCCTCACGATCCTAGCTGAACTTGCTATCTTAGGGCTGTACCATTGCATCATACTGGCCTAATACTAACGGTAATTTCAGCATTCTCCTTATCCTGGTAGCTCATATGGTTGCACATTTCTTTCTTCTCAGGTCACTGGGAGGGTCTACTTTTCTTTCCCCCCCTGCTGTTGCTTCCTTATGTTTTGCTCTAAAGTAGCTTTCAGTTTTTGGATTGCATTGATTAATTTATTGCCCTGAAATCATTTTAAAGAGGTATGGTGTAGAATTAAAGGCACTGGGCTGGAAACTGGGAGACTGAGTTCTAGTATTGACTACCTAGAAACCAGGTAGGTGACTTTGTGCCAGTCACACACACTCTGCCCTTGGACAACGACAATTGCAGAAAATCCCCCCCAACTGAGTTTTATTGAAAGACCAAAATATAGCAACAATATTAAACTTGTCAAATAGGTAGGAAAGAGAAATGGAGATTTGAGAGGATATTATATTCATTGCAGTTTTGAAGTCTCCAATGCTAAAATGTTGAATGTTATGAGACCTATTTTTGAAATAAAATTCTGTATAAACTTCATCTTTAAATAAAATAGTGCTTAGTCTAGAGAAAAAAATCAAATGAAAATATTCTTTGAAATATGAACATTTTGCAATGGTTGTTGAAACCTGGTTCTGTTGTCTTAATCTATGTCGGTGAAAGTTTAAATATATTTTTCTTCTTATGTAGTGAAGCCAATTTGCTGACATTTGATGAAAGCGATGGAACTTGTAGTCCCAATGGTGAAAGGAAAGTGAGTATATAAAATATAATGTACATTTATTCACTTTACAAATGCCATATCACATGAAATCTTATATCTATTTACTCCGAGCTAATTCTGATATAGTCTTTGACTTACAACAGCAATTAACGACCAGCTCATAATGTATCTTATTTTGACTTCAGTGAAAAGTAATGATAATATGTGAATATATCCAATGTATTTTGTAGATGGTAGCTTATGTGTTGTCATTATTTTTACTTTTCACGCCAACCTAAAAATTAACTAAATTTGTGGATTTTTTTAAAAAAAATAATTTCTCAAATACAGATAGCCCTCGACTTACAACCATTTGTTTAGTTACTGTTCAAAGTTACAATGACACTAAAAAAATGACATGACATTTTTTACACTTACAACCATTGTAGCATCCCCATTGTCACATGATCAAAATTCAGACACTTGGCAACTGGTTCATATTTATGATGGTTGCAGTATCCTGGAATCATGTGGTCCCCATTTGCAACCTTCTGACCAGCAAAGTTAATGGGGAAGCCAGATGCACTTCAAGGTTTTGGTTACCACCTTTAAAGCGCTCCATGGCTTAGGACCTGGTTATCTACGGGACCGCCTACTACCACCAATAGCCTCCCACCGGCCAGTACGCTCTCATAGAGAGGGACTCCTCTGGGTGCCGTCAGCCAAACAATGTCGGCTGGCGACCCCTAGGGGGAGAGCCTTCTCTGTGGGGGCACCTACCATCTGGAATGAGCTCCCCCCAGAGATACGGAGGATCCCGGATCTGCGCACCTTCCGCCGCGCTGTGAAGACCTTTTTATTCCATCAGGCGGGCTTGGCCTAATCTCTTCCCTTTTTAAACATGTAAATTTTAATCTGTTTTTAAATTATTGGGGTGTTTTAAATTTGTTTGGGCCAAAATGATTTAATCTGATTTTATCTGGTTTTTTAAATTTTTTGTATCTATGTTATTTTATTGTTTGGCTGTTCACCGCCCTGAGTCCTTCGGGAGTAGGGCGGTATACAAATCAAATAAAACAAACAAACAAAACATTTACTTAACTGTATTTCTAACCTAACAACTGAAGTGATTCACTTAACAATTGTGACAAGAAAGGTTGTAACTGGGACAAAACTCACTTAACAACTGTCTCACTTAGCAACAGAAATTTGGGACTCAATTCTGATTGTAAATCGAGGGCTGCCTATGTCCAGTAATCAACCCTCCATCCCCAGTTTCCTGAGCAGCATACAATTTCTTTAAAATATAAGGTGTAGAGAAGTATTTCATTCCAAAAGTTTTAATCCTACTATTTGAGCAGGATCTTCCAGTTTGGGGACATTTGAGACAGTACGAAAAGCCCTAAAAATGTTTTAGTATTTGAAAGCTTGACAGAACTATAATTTCCTCTCTTGATATGATGGTTTATGTTGTTTTATTTCAGCCATGTCGCCATCGCTTAGGTTTTGGAACCAGAAATGAAGCCTTAAGGACATACAGCAGACGAAACAAAAGTGACACTCCTGGAACTTTAAAAAGCACCCCAACTGGACTTAACATATCGGGAAGCGGAAGGAAAATATGGTGTAGTGCTTTTCAGATGATCTCAAAATTGTTTAATATGTGGTGTATGTCTAGAGGACATGTTAGTTATGAGAGTGCTACTAACACTGTTCAGCTGTCTGTTTCCACTTGGGTGATGTATTTTAAGCAAGTATAAAAACACATCTATTAAAATATCCAAATATTATTATAGATATATATATTGGAATATATAACTATATATAAAAATGTCTAAACTACACAGAACTTTACAGAAACGGACCGAACAGATTGGAGCACACTATTTGTGCTATTGAACAATCAAGAGAGAAAAATTTCCCCTTTCCAGCTAAAGCTTACAGTGTATCCAATAATGTCTGCATTATTAGCAAAAGAATTGCCTGTGGCTATATCTTCTGTTGCCAGTATCTTCAATTGCTATGTTGAGTTGCATGATGAAAAATCACAGAATGCAAAGGACAAAATTAGACTTAATCTCCTGAAGACTATTTGTTCCAATGATAGTATTATGCTACACTAACTGCTTGTGGTATGCTTTTAAATAAGAGTTGTGGCCACATTTTTCCAACAAAGGAATATATACTATAGGTTTGATGTCGGCTTTCCAGAAAATGTTGACTTGGGCTTTTCTTGCATCATTTTTTTAAAAATTCTGTACCATAGTTTTTTAAACTTTGCACCTATGCCAATTCCTATAAAAATAAAAACTGTTTAGCAAACATTCAAATAATTGTTCTCTTTCCCCTCTAACCACAGCAGCTATAACCTTGCTAGTGCCCCGGTTGGAGGAGAAAGAGAAGTTTTTGAAATGCTATCTAGCAAATGAGTTAATGTATAATTATTTTTTCCTTGTCTTTAATAAACTTTAAAACTTTATAATTGTTGCAATGTACCATTGTGTATTTGGCTTTAAATATTTGTATTTCCCTTGCACTGTGAAATTAAGCAGTGTTAATTTTATATATTCTTCAGGTGAACAAGATGAATTCTAATAGTTCATAGTTCAGATTTTTGGGGGAGGATCTGCAAATTTTGTCTTTTTAGTTATCAAGCTGGAAAGACAATATTAATAAAACCATACATTGTAAAACTTGTATAATTAGTATCACAACTACACATAAGTAATTTTCTGTCAACTCTTTTGTTTTTACCATTTTTAATTTCCTTTGCCAATTGACCCAGCAATATTTCCTAACATATTTACTGTGATCATCATCACCGAAATTATTAACTAGATTTTTGAATGGACAAATTTGTTTCAATACTGAATTTTATTCTTTTAATTTTTTATTTACTGTTTTAAAAGAAAAAGAAAACAAATAAGCAAAAATTAAAAAATGGTTCAGAATCTTTATAAGAATTCCTGTACAGATAATGCTTGGCATTTCTTTGATTAAAAATTAACCGTGGAAAACATTAAGTTGCATTTAACTTCATTAAATAGTTTAAATAGTGTAAGAATTTAAATCTCTTGAGTTTAGTGCCCTAATCTCCAATAACGCTGAATTTCCAATTGTTATTGTGAAACAGATTGTTGTTTTTTGTGTGAATGTGTGTTGAGAGAGAATAAAACACTGCAACTTTTTAAAGAAGCTTTTTCACCCTACTACACTAGCAGTACAATATGAAGATCCTTCATATTTCTTTTACTGGCTGCCAGTTGCTACTAATTAAGCACTTAAGCAATTGCTATGATTAGACAGCGTTGTGGAAGCTCTGATTCATTCATTCATTCATTTAAAGAATAAAATGACTGAAGACTATTTAAAATGAGTTGAACATTCGGTCCTGTTGTGAATAATAACAATAATACTTTTTCTATTTTATTATTGCAGTGTAAATGCTGAAAATATATCCTGTTCAGAATCAGAAGTACAGGCCAGACGTTTCTGTGCTCACACACAAACACGAGTAAAAACAGCAGCACAAAAGTAAGTTCTAAAAATCATAGATCATCAGTCTGACTTTATTAGGTTTGTCTTTGGTGTAATTGATACTCAGTATTTAAATGTGATTTGCTATTCATAGAATCAGAGACTTAGAAGGGATATTTGAGGTCATCTAGGCCAACCCCCACCCAACCCAACCCCTGATTCAATGCAGTATGGATTACAGCATCTATGATAGATGATAATCCATCCTCTGTTTGAAAACCTTAGTAAAAGGAACTAACCACTTCACATGGCAATCTATTCCTCTTGCTGAAAGCTGATCTTTTGGAATAATTTCTTCTAATGCCTGGTTTGAGCCTACTTCCTTAATAGTAATAGTAATCTGTTGATAATGGTACTGTCCTCTGGGGCAATCTAGAACTTAAAGAATTGAGTCAGCCTTTCAGATATTTGAACACTGATATCAGGTTTCCCTTCAGTCTGTAGACCAGGGGTGTCAAACCTGCATCGTCACGTTGTCATCATGTGATGTGTATGACTTTTTCCCCCCTTCACTAAACTGGGGGTGGGTGGCAGGCTGCAAATTTGACACCCCTGCTCTAGACCAAATGTGCCAATTTGGGATAGTGATACCACCTGTTATTATACTCCAGTTTGTGGAAGAACTATTGATGAGCATTCCTACAGCAATGCTCAGTAAAGCATGTATTCACTTAGAATTCATCTGACTGGCCTTCCCTTTAACCAGCTTGTTAATGAGAATGCCATGAGGTTCTTGGTCTGATGCTTTGTTAAAGATAAGATTCATTACATCTGCAGCACTACTACAACTTGCTATGGAACTTCCTTGATCAAAAATGAGAAAAGATGAGTCCAGCAAGGTTTAGTTATGATATGTACATGCTGAATTATGAATGACTGAATTCTATCTACAAAACAATCTCTTTGGAATTTTCTTTGTTATAGACGTCGGACAGACAGATCTGTAGTTTCTTGGATCAATTGTTTTCCTTTTTTAAGATAGGGATAATATGCACCCTCCAGTTATTCTGGATTTATTAAAGATAGTGTATAAGGATTCACCTGAAATTATCAGCAAGTTCAGTCACTATCTTAAAATGTATTTCCTTTCAACTGGAAGATTTAAATTTATTCAAGATTGACAAGTATCCCTGAATATATTTCTATCTCAAAGTTCAGTTTCATCCTTCATTCTGTTCTTCACAATTTCTCAATAGGATACATACTGTCTAGTTAGAAGATTAAGCCAAAATACTAGATGAATAGGTCTGCCTTCCTTTTGGTCTCTTTAGCATTTTTCCTTCTTAACTGAGCAATTGATATATTCTTGTATCTTTTCTGAATGTTGAGTGTATCTGAAGAAGGCTTTCTTATATGTGATTTTAAGCTTCATTTGCTAGCTTCTTTATAGTTCTGTGCTAGCTATTTGTGTTGTTTTAGTGACATTTCTTTCATCTATATATAGCCTTTGGGTTTGTTTCATTCAGTTCTTCACATATCCATGTTGGCTCCATCAGCTTGGCATTTTAATGATTTTCAATTGTGCTTTTAGTATCACCTTTTTTGGGGGAACTTTCCCTTTTCCATTAGTTTCTCCTGCTATTATGCTTTCATTGTTCATGTATTACCCAATATAGTACTATAGAGGCTTTAGTTGTTGAAGTATTCAGAATTCCTAACCTGTGGAATTTAAAGTTGTTGAATAATCCTGGACAACTTTAGTACTTTAACTTTTCCTTGCAGCAAAAATTAGTTGAGACCTTAGGGGAGGAGGGTTGCGTGCATGCATACCCACACCCATAATTCTATGCCCCCCGCCCACACGCATGTGCGCATGACACCACAACCCCCACTCCTGAAACGCGATGACCTGGTAGGCCCATTTTTTTCTCTCACCTGGCTCCAGAGCCTTTCTAGGAATCTGGGGAGGGTGAAAACAGCCTTCCCCACCAGAGGCCCTCCAGAGGCCAGAAATGGCCCATTTGCCAACTTCTGGTGGGCAAACGGGCCGTTTTCAGCCTCCGGAGGACCTCCGGGGGTGGTGGTGGGGAAGGCCATTTTTGCCCTCCCCAGACTCCTAGAGAGGCTCTGGAGGTTGGAGATAGCAAAAAACAGGCTTTCTGGTCCCACCGGAAGTTGGCAAACAGGCCATTTCTGGCCTCTGGAGGGCCTCCGGGGGGGTGGGGAAGGCCATTTTTGTCCTCCCCAGACTCGTAGAAATGCTCTGGAGCCAGGTGAGAGAGAAAAATGGGCCTTCCCCACCCCCCCCCAAGGCCCTCCGGAGGCAGGAAACAACTTGTTTCCCTACTTCTGATGGGCCCAGAAGGCCTGAAAATCAGCTGGCCGGCACATGCATGCACACCAGAGCTCAGCTTGTGTCCCCACTGATATGGCTATGCGTGCCACCTGTGGCACGCGTGCCATAGGTTCGCAGGCACGGGCCTTGAGCTTGTTCAAGAATGTGGTTCTTAAATTGTTTTCCATTTGTATGTTATTGAATGTTCGTGAATGTTTATGAAAGTTGTTTCCAGTCGTTACATTTATAATAGGGACACAGTGATGGCATTTTGATTTGGGGCAGATTGCTATTTCATTACTGTGTTTAATACAGGAGTTATTTTTCTAAAGTTTGTTTGGCCATTTTATTTTCAGCCTTGTTTATAATTTGGAAGTATTAGAAAATAATGCATTTTTTAATATTACCAAGAACCATATTCATGTCCTACTGTGAGCTTCAAAGAGTCCTTTAATGTGATCCAGCAGAGTTTATCTTACACATATAAAGGAAAGTTTAGTTTTTCACTATCACCATTAAAGATATCTTAGCTTGTTTGTCTTATCTTGGCAATTTCATTAAAATACTTCATTTTTTTAATAAATACGTTCTAGGTATAAAGATGGGCAACTTTCAGAAGTTTTGTCTATACCGTGTTTCCCCGAAAATAAGATAGGATCTTATTTTCTTTTGAACCCTGAAAAGAAAATCTGAAAAGGTTGAAAACCTGAAAAGAACCCTGAAAAGAAAACCCTGGGTTTTCAGGGGGGACTTATTATTTTGGGGGTGGTCATGGTTGCGGCTGTGTTGCGTTGCTGCGGCAACATAGCCGCTTGTCAGCTGTTCGCCTGAGGCCATGCCTGTGTCCTCACGTCCCTGTGTCTGGCTCTTTGGGAGCCTGTTCGCAAGAGAACAGCCACCGGCACCTCTTGCCATTTGGTGTCCACCCAGCAGACACCCCTCCCTCTGGCCAGGCAGCGGGCCACTCACCGACCAAGCAGTATCCCAGGATCATGATGTGGGCGAAGCCGGTGAGCACCAGATCCTTGAGAAGTCCGTGCCGCCGCCATCCCAGCACTGAGGATGGCTTCCTCTGTGGCTTCCATACCCCAGCTGGAAGCCGCTGGAAGCAGAGAAGAGGCCGGTCGGGCCAACCGCCTGCTGCCGAGTCTTCTGGGAGCTGGGGCAGCCGCATGGACCTGGAACCATAGAGCAGGAAGTCCGCTCTATGGTTCCAGGTCCATGCGGCTGCGCCGGCTCCCAGAAAACTTGGCAGCAGGCGGCTGGCCCAAGCAACCTCTTCTCCATTTCCAGCCGGGGTTTGGAAGCCGCAGAGGAAGCCATCCTCAGTGCTGGGATGGCAGCGGCATGGACTCCTCAAGGACCTAGTGCTCACCGGCTTCGTCCACATCATGATCCTGGGATACTGCTTGGTCGGTGAGTGGCGCTCTGCCTGGCCGGAGGGGGGTGTCCGCTGGGTGGGCACCAAGTGGCAAGAGGTGCCGGGTGGCTGCTCTTTTGCAAGCGGGGCAGGAGTTTTCAGGCGAGGGGGATGGATGGAAGGTAGGTGAGCACCAAGAACGCTGGAGCAGCTCCCGATCAGCTCAGTTGATCCGTGGGTTGCCATTAAGGAGCCCAGCTGCCATTAGCTGACCGGGGAAGGGAAGGGCTGCCTTCTCTGCTGCCCATGCCCAACCCTTCACTAGGACTTATTTTCAGGGAGGGCATATATTTATGCCCACCCCAAAAATCAGGCTTGGCCTTATTTTCAGGACATGTCGTATTTTGGGGGAAACACGGTATATTACAAACCCATTCCAATGGATGAGATTGCTCTTGGTGGCAGAGAACAGATTATTATTTTTTTCTTGTAATAAAGCAGAATTTTAGGGGAGATAGTTACAAGGACAGAGGAATAGGACAAAATAGTGTTGGAATAAGATTGGATTCTTTTTCCCTTTTTATCAGACTCTTAATCAGCCCCCAGTGTTAAAAATCTCATGTCCAAAGATTTTTGCCCACTATTGCCAACCCTGAATAAAATTTTAGTTTTGAAGGATGGCTTATCCCTACCCATACTAGCCTTTTCCTTGGAATTTGTATTGGACTCTTCTGCTTGAAGATCCATGGAGTACTTTTAAAAAATGTGCTATACTCTGTTTTAATCTAGCCTTGTGAAGGATGAACTGTTAACTCCAAGTTTGCTCATTGAAGCAGGTCCTTATTTAATTACTCCTTCAAATAAGTGTTGGTCACCTGAAACTAATGAGGCAATCAGCTGATAACTGCATCTTGGTTGTAGTTTAGGTTTAAATTCCCTTATAAGTTTAGTGCTACTTAACAATGAATGTTCTGCATTTAATTTAAATGTTAAAATCTAGGTTTCTAAAAGCACATTTTAAAGAACTCATATTGAAGGGCTTTGTATCTTACAATATTTCTCTCTTTCATATTTTAAGCAATCGGGATCTAAAAGAAAGGTAAGCACAAGGTGAAATGGACATGATAATGAGAATACTGTAGAAGTATTGTTTTCTGGCACTACTGAATGGATTTTTCTTACCTGGAATAGTAAATGAGACAGGATTATCAACAGATATCAGCTCTGGTTACATTTATTCATAGCTTTAAGTTGTTTAAGTTGCTTCTGGCTTATTTTGAATAAGCAAGTGTGCCAGTGCATGCTATTTCATATGTCCCATTTTACTGCTTTTAGTCAAAGCATGTCAGGAATTTGAAATTAAGAATAAATGTTGCCTTTAGATTCTGCCTTGATATGGAAAATATAAACGAAGACTCCAACTTGACACAAAACTTGGTAAATTAGTTATGAGATGATCTGAAGGGTATATGACACTGGAAGTAAGAAATAATCTTTAATGTGATGGAGATGCTTATAATTTAGAATCAAAATCATTGAAAGGCTTAGGTGGTTGGTAAAAGTGTCCTTCAGCAGGACAAAATGACTTCCAGAGTTCTATTATATTGGATGCAGAAGTGGGCGTCACATACTGTAACAACCGGTTCGCCTGGAACCAAAAATGTGAGTGTGTGCGGCATGTGCATGTGCGCTGCATTGAAAAACAGGCAATTATATAGGATGTGATAGCGCCAGGGCAGGTGGGTGGGCCCAGCCACTGATCAGAACTACTGGTTCGCCTGAACCAGTCTGAACCGGCAGCAGCCCACCACTGATTGGATGGTTTCTTCTCTAGGTTTTACAGTTAACAAGGAGACCTCATTTAAGAACCACTCCTTCAGCAGCTGTTCCAAGTTATGATGGAGCTTAATGAATGGTCCTTATGACTGGTGCTCAAAGTTCTGGCTGTCCCAGCACTCCTGCAGTTACATGATCACAATCTGGACTCTTAGCAACCAACTGACATTTACAATGGTTGCAGCATCATATAGTCATTTGATAGCTATTTGTGACATTCCTTCCTGGCTTCTCAGAGTCAGTTGAGAAATCAAGAGGGAAGGTCACAAGTTGCTCTGGCAACTGGCTTGGAATCATCCATCCCTGCCTTCCTTGCACAGTGGCTCATGAGCCACTCATGCATTCTCCCCCACCTGGCAAGAGCCATCCGTGGTCTCTTGCATATTGCACTGTGCATTGCACCACACCTTAACTGCCCACTGGCCTGCTTGCAAGCCATCTGGGACCTCCTTCATGATCCATGATTCTTGCTTACCAATGGCAATAGGGAGTACTAAGATTGCTGTTGCTAAGCAGTGTGGTCATGTGATGTCACATTTTGTGACTACATCACTTAGTGATGGAAATTCAAGTCCCAATTACTTAGTTAACCAAGGACTAACAGTATGAGATGCAGAGAAAGAGATTTGGAAAGGGATGTGAGAATCATGATGGTCAGGATCATGACAAATAGATTCAGTTATTCAGATTAATTGGTTATATTTTTTATATATTTAATGCATTTGGACTTCTTTTCTACTTAGGTTGTCTTGGTCAAATACTGTAAATGCATCTATTTTCAGAATAGAAATAGTGAATGAGAAGAATTAAAATTATTTGGATCCATTTTTAAATTGTTTAATTTTTAATTTGTTATAACTATAAAAGTCAAAATTATAAGAAACAAATAATAAAATAATTTATTATAATTTATAATTAAAATAATTATACAAATTATAAGTTTTTAAAATTATTTCTTTATTTTTAATAGTAGTAGTAGTTTATTGATTGATCTTATAACTTCATCAATAAAATAAAATAAATACAGTGCATTGTATAGTTCCAGAAAAAGTTAGATAGGAAATAAAATGTGTTAATATAAATAATCGGTAATCAGATAAATAAATGTCCCTTACAAGATATTCCAGTTTGTTCAGTGTATTGGGTTCTTGGGACCATTGCCTTAGTTATAAATTTAGCAGTTCTGCATACAATATATACATTTAAGCCCAAGAGGAAGTATGACAGTCTGTGGTTTGGTAGGCACTGGGGGGACCAGTGCAGCCTCAAACTTCTGTGATGCCCCCCAGATTTCTTGATCTATTCGCTTTTTTAAAAAGATTCTTTTCGTTTAACTAAATAAATTACAATGTGTCATACTGCAAAACATCTTTAATTAGCCTTTTATCATCATGTTTCTTCAACCATGTAATTGTAGCCAACAGATACCTCACTGGTAGAATATTTGGAGGGGGGGGGCTGGTTAGTTTTCCGGTACAATGTCCCGAGTAGCTAACTAAGCTTTTGGATAAAGAGATGTTTTGTGGTACTATTTCCTTAATATCATCAGACTATTAATTAATTTTACGAGATTCTGGTAGCTCATTACAATGACTAATAGTGTGGTCCTATCTTATCAGCAGTAATAACAAAGTTTAGAGATTAATGCTGAAGTATTCATCTTATTTAATTTTTTACCTAAAAGAACGGTGTCACTGCTAAAGCTCCCAGATACCTGAAAACCTCTATTTTCTTACATTAATTTACATGAAGTAAGTTACTAATTCTGTAGCATAGTCTGGCTCAAATTACAAAATGTGTTTGCTGTTATAGAAACGTGACATTTTAAAAACTATATTATTAATTTTATTTCAATTTACCTGAAAGGAATATTTTGCTTTCCCTTTTATGAGCAGCTTCACATCAGTTATGATAAGGATTTTAGGATAAAATTTTAAGTGTATTGGTTTAGGTAGGACATTTCACAACCAGTTTATTTGATTTTATATGAATATTTATTTTCCCATACCAAGTTTGAGAATGTATCCTATCATTTGCTATGGATATTGAAATAAATTAGTTTCTGAAACAAACAGGTTTTAAAAAATTATGATATTTATGTAATTACTTACCAAGCACATCTAAATTATATTAAAATAACCAAAATATCTTTACAATTCCCAAGGCATGTCACAACATTTAAGCACCCCTAATGTTTGGAAATTGAAAGTATCTGTATGGAAAAATAGTGTACAGTACACGTTTGGAAAAGTACTGTATGATCTCAGGCAGAAATTATTTTGATTACTGGCTTATAGTGGGGCGGCATGGTGGCTCAGTGGTTAAGACATTGGGCTTGTTGGCTGGAAAGCTGGCAGCCCAGATTCGAGACCTGAGTGCCATCTGATGGGTGAGCTCCCATTCTTGCTCCAGTTCCTGCCAACCTAGCGTTTCGAAAGCATGTAAATCAAGTAGATAAGTAGGCACCACTTTGGTGGGAAGCTAGTGGCATTTTGGAAAATAAATTCCACAAGAACTGTTGGAATTCTTTTTTATTGATGCAGAATATAATAACAGAATCCCAAAAGCCTGATAGAGATTCTCTGTTCCCCCATATTATACCAAAGAGAATCCAGGTGGAGTAATCTTGAGTTTCTTTTGACCCTCTTCTCCCTCTCTGGTCCATATGGGTGTTTCATTTTAATGGCTGTGAAATTTCTTCGTGAAGGCCATCTCCATACTTCCTTACAGCTAGGAATGAATCCTAAAGATCTCAAACCCTACATGTTTCATCCTTCAGTACAGTACAATAAGATTGGAAGCTTCACTCTCTTTTTTAATTTAAGTGCAATTGATTAAGCATTCTGCATTCAATTTAACAACCATAGCTTAACCCACTATTCTTTGTTTGCTTGAGATGACATAAGTAATCATAGGAAATTGTAATTAATATAAAACAATTAAAGCAACCAGATTTCTTATGTCCATTATGTGTTGTATTATTGCTGTTGTTACTTCAATTTATTAGCTGCCTCTACCAAAGGAATTAAGGTTAAGAAAAAAAGTAAAACACAATTGACATGTAAGGGCTAGAAGCATAGCATTATGACTTATTATAGCTATTGAATATGTCACAATGTGACATATTGTGGGGAGGGAACTTAAGTCTCTCTTTTTTGGATATTTGAAAAGTGATAGATGTGCATGCAATTAGTCACAGAGATACTGTATTCTTCCTTAGTCTGCAGTGAAGTATCTTAAGTCTTTGCAAGTGTCATTTTTAACATACCCTTCAATTTTTTAAATTTAATTTATTTATTTTAATTCATTGCAAATTACATCATTTATACCATAAAAGCTTTAATACACTAACAGGAAATGCTGTAGATACTATAAAATTTAAATTAATTAATTTTTTCCTAAAGTTAAGCAAAATGTAACTGATTGTTAGATATGCAGCAGACTTGCCCATTATTTGTGGAGAATATGTAAATGGAATTTCATGTGTTGCATCTTTAAGTGATACAACTGTCTAGTATATGAAATATATTTGCAAAGTGTCATAGGTTAATGATAAAGCAGAAGTTTATGGTGAATTACTTTAAGTGAACAGTTTTTTTAATAGTCACCTATTTATTTTCTATATATTTATTAAACTGATTAATAAACATTATCAAGTAATTAAGTGACATAAATCCATGATGCATAGAGAAAAAAGATATTTTTTTTAAAAAAGTAGATAGGCAGAAAATATACATTGTTTTATTCACCATACATCTAAAGTATTGCCTGCAATACGTCTATTGCAATTGAGATAAAATATAAAGTTCATCAAAATTCAATAGAGTAGTGGTTCCTGCCATCTTAAGTTTTCTATTGTTGGGCAATTATCATTTTATCTGCTAAATTTAAATAAATAATGTTGGTTATTTTTAAGATTGATATTTGTCCTATAAATAAGAGTGGCAGGTGAGTATTTAGTTCGGTGGTTCTCAACCTGTGGGTCGCGACCCTTTTGGGGGTCGAACAACGCTTTCACAGGGGTCGCCTAAGACAGTGGTCACCAACTGGTGGTCCTTTGATGGTCTGCGGAGAAATTTTAGTATTTTTGCATTTTTGCAGGTGATGCAATACGGAAAAAGGAGTGCAGCCCTCGCCATCCGGAATAAATGGTGCTGTTGTGGCAGTGGGGGAGGGGGCGGCAGAAGCGGGAAGAAGCGGCGTTTGCGATAGCTGGAAGCTGCGGGAGTGAAGCACTACTTTCATTTGCACGGCAACAGCATT